CTATAAAAACTCTGAAAATTCTCTATTATTTTTGCTTCATTGTATCCTTAATTCCGCTTTTGTTAAATTTCTATTGCAAAAAATTCATAGCAAATCCTTCAAACGTATGAAGTGCGAATACATGCAGTTTTCAAATGTTCAGTCCATAATTTCATTTGTTAATTGCATTTTAATAAGCACAAGCTCACTTTACCTGCATACTATTCTCATCGTCCCCTGGTAATGTTCCCTGTTTGGAGTATTGCCAACTAAATTAAAACTCATTAAATCGATTGTTTTATAAATCATAAATGCCTGGGGGAAATCCCACCAAGCGGACAATAACGTTTATGCAAGTTAAAGTGCAACTCAAAATTCACAGCAACTCAAAATGGCGTAATTAATGGGGCCCAAAGGCAGAAAATAATACCAGGAAGTTGTTGTCAAGCCACTATAAAAAGTGGCTTGGCTGGAAGTTGGGATATTAAAAAGTTTCATTGGTGAATTCAATTTTTGGTAAAAGATTATCAAATACAATGCAAATTAAATTAAAAATATAAGTGATCAAGAAGTTTTACGTACTAGTATAGATTTTATTTTTGTACTTCTTCGTTAATTTCAGTTCTTTTAATTAAGTAGAATGTTAGAGGGAAAATTTTAAGCAATTTCCCTAATCACTGCTTTTCAATTGTCGTTCTGTTTAGTTAAGATAGTTAACCATGTCCGCACATATGGCACCTTGTGACTTTTTCCAACTTTCCAAACTCAGGGATACTCAGATACTCAAAAGACAGTGTTTCTCAATAATAGATAAGATATAAGCGAAAACGCAGTACAGGCTGAAGATCATACGTTAAAGGGCATTCAAACAGTCTTCCTTAAACTGGAAACAACCTAAGCATAAGTATTCAATATCAAAGAGAGTCTACTGTGAAGAGTATAAGCTATATAATAGAGATAAAATAAACCCTTTTAAAAAAATTAAAAATTCTCTTTAATGACATCTCCTGCTATAAATAATTGTCTTATAATCTATCTAAACCATGTTTATTATAAACAAGAACAAAGTTTATTGTAAATAATATAAATTGATTTTGATTCTTTCAAAAAAGATTTTCCGCTTATACGATCTCGGATCACGTCGTAAAGAGTACACATTGGTTGTAATTTTACTTAAACTTAAACTCTAAACTTATAAGAGCAATCAAAGAAAGATGAAATGAAATGTTGCCACGAAATATCACGTAATGTATTTTAATCAATAAAACTGATCTTTTAAAGAAATATCATTCAAGTTCAAAAATTGTAGAACAAATTGAACTCCAAAACCAAACGATTTCCAAAAAATAATTTTGATGGTTATGATGGTTTTCCAATTCAACGCTAGACAAGTTTTGTATTTTATTATTCGAAACGGTGATATCTGACCCAATGCTACAAGTAATAGTAAGATGCTCTTCTTAGTGAAGACAATCGATCAAAGCCGATTTATTTACAGCTTATTAACTCTATTAAATAGTACTTACTGTAGAATAATTGCAAGTACCTCTAAACCTATATTTCTTTTGTATTCTGATCACTTCAAATATTTACATAAAGTGTTCTGTGATTAAACTTGGATTGAAGTTACATATCTTTATTGTTAAAGCAATCACAAATCCATTTCACTTAACAGGTCGTCCAAATATAGTTACGAACATTAGAATATCTGTAAATATCAACTATAATGCATTAGTCACAAATATTTTAATGCATTACCTACTAAAGATAACGATATTCTAAAGCTTGAAATAATGATAAGTTAACTTAAGGTAGACTATATGCGTATATATCTTTTGGCATGGTATGATGGAGACGTTGCTTTCGTAGTAATGAAATCGTTTAATGCCAAGGTATCTACACAAAGTTTTATTAAATATACAATATACAATATTTTATCGTGAATATGAGAAATATTTTAAACCAAAAAGACTAAAAGGAAAGTAAATACATCATTTCACTTGGCAAGCGATGTGTGATCTGTAACGATGTCACACATGTACGATTTGATCTGAATCTCTTAGATACATTTTTATAATACCGCAGTCAGTCCGTTGTTGTTGTTGTTGTTGGGCAATTTATTTTAATAGTTTTACAATTTGTTGTGATTTTATGACACTTGCGTGTTTTTGTGTGAAATTAAAAAAAAAATAGAAGACAATATAATAGTGCCTATGACTGAATAATAGAAATCATTGACAACCTGCGGCAATGTTTTGAATAATTGCTGCTCTGAGCTTTATTTCACGAGCCAATGAGTTTGTTTTTGTTGGCATTTCATTGTTTATTTATTATTACAGCGAATAGTTTAAACAAGATTGACCTTTGAAAGTTTGCCAAAATGCACCAGCAGGTTGAAGAGAAAAATAAATAATAAAATATATATAAATAAGTTTTATAAATAAATAAAATAGGAACTGAAAAATAAATTGTTTTTTCATGAAAATCAACATTGAAAAGTGATGTAGTGACTCTTATGTATAATATAATTTATATAGATGAAAGTAAAGATTGTCACTGAAATAAAAAGTTTTAAGCGTTCGCATTCATTTATAAATACAATTATAAATATTTAGTATATATACTATATATATACTAAACTATACTGTATATATACAGTAATCAGCACGAGAATATAATATTTTTTTTTAAACTAAATTTATTTATGAAATTCTTTATCTTAGAAATCAACTAGAAGTATTTAATTCATAAAATTAATTAAGCTGAAAAGTTTTATTCATGTTAAAGAACTTTTTCACTTTGATTCAAGTGAAATTTTTTTTTTTTTGTATTAAAATTAAATATCTAAATGCTCAACTAAAGATTTAAAGATAGACTAGTGCACGAAAGATACTCCGTAATTGACTCCTAACACCAACTCCTATTGGTAAGCTTAAAAACTGAAAAAAAAATTTTTTCAAACTTGCCTCGAATAAAAAAATGATCACCAAAGCAGAGAACCATTTTAAAGATTTCAAAAAATTATTCTAGAAAAGGTATAGAATAAATACCACAAACAAAAAATTTTCACTGATTTGAAAACAAAAAAACTATACAAATGAATAAAAATTTCCAACTAAACAATATATTAGTAATTAAAATAGTTGAATATATTTAATATAGAGATCATATGAAAATCTGGAAACTCAAATCTTCACAAAAAGCCAATCACCTTCGTGTGATATTTTTTGAGCCGTCGCACAGTGTGACAAAACACAAAATTAGGCGGTCATAATTCGATATTTTCGGAACTAGTAGAGATATTGATATGAAATTTTCCTAAAATATAGTTTTTGAGTTGATCTTTCTTTTAAATCTAAATTGAACGTCTGAACATAATGTGTTATAACTTCGTTATTCTTCAACCGATTTAGTTGAAATTTGAAATATAAATAAATTAAATATTTATAAAATTATAAATGTCTTTTTGTTATTACTCATTGAATTTGTTGTTGAAATAAATGGGGTTTATTGAAGATAATATTTTTCGTAATTTTTCGCTGGTTTCTGAGGCCTGAAATAGGTGTAAAACATAGAGTGCGCAGGCCAATTTTTGTTTTATTGTAAAGTGTAACTATTTGGCTATTAATAGGAAAAATTTCATGAAAAAACTCGGATACATTTTTTGGGTATCGTAGATAGAAGTGAAAATGGCCATGAAAAAAAAGCTGACTTTTTGTGCAATTTCGCTAATAAAATTTTTTTGATAATTAAAATTGAAATTTTTTTTACACATAATGAATAACAATATCGTAAGCTTCAAAAAAAATGAAAAATGATCATTTTTGAATAAATAGTAAAAAAGCTATAAAGGTTTAAAGTTGGTTCAATTTTTGTAAAATCGTAATTTCGCTAAAATTGCATAAAACTGCAAATAACTTAGGAACTAATGGGCGGATCACACCCATTTTTTGCGTAATGTTGTGTTGCTATGTAAGTCACGTATATATGTAGTCCAATAAGTGCAAAAAGTGTTTTTAACGATAATAAATGATTTAATATGAAAATTTTGTATGGGGGGTGGGTGTGGCAGTGGGCGGAAAACCTTAAAAAAATGGTGGAATCTAGATAATAACGTAAGTTTTCCGGACACCAAAATTCAGCTTTCTACCTATCATAGTTTTTAAGTAATCTTGGGACCACGGTAAAATCCCCATGTTTGGGCAAAAATTTCGGGTAGTTCCGGTAGGCCGATTGGGCTCAATTTAGATTTAAAAGAAAGATCAACTCAAAAACTATATTTTAGGAAAATTTCATATCAATATCTCTACTAGTTCCGAAAATATCGAATTATGACCGCCTAATTTTGTGTTTTGTCACACTGTGCGTCGATAGTCGATTTACTTTGGGATTACTGGATCATGACGGTATGAATATAGCGAATATGTATTTCGAAAAGGTTTTGAATAGTGCTTTTTCGAAGGTGTGGCGAGCCAAACATTTTGGTGAATGAAAGTAGATGTGTTAATGAAATTCTACTCCATCACATAAAATATTCGCCAAGTAAGAATGGATAAGAAACTACACTACACACTTTTATAGTGACACAGTGACTATTTGCAATATTTTAGTTATGTAAGACGAAAAACTGATATCTTAAACTGAGTAAAATGAAATTATGGAATTATTCCTTCAATATATATATAGAAGGAACTTACATTTCTTCTAAATAGTATTTGTGTATATCTAATATCTTATTTACACTGAAAATATTTATCATACATTAATAGCTACTAATATTCAAATATACTGAAATTAACAATTTCAAAAAAATAATAATAATTTTCTTTAACTGAGTATATATAATTAAATACATTTTGTGGCATTCTTCAATTATATATAATTAAATTACGTATAATTATATCATCATAACAACATAAATCAAAAATTAAACAAAAACTTATACTTAACAAAAAGAAATTATTAAGTATACATATATATAATAGAATGTACATATTTTTTAAATAAAAAAAAAGCAAAACATCACTGCTTTTACAAGATTATAACTCAATCATTACCTCTAAAATCCCTGTCGTCTATAGCTGGACGGACGATGTGTGGATGAAGATGTATCAAGTCCGCTGTCATGTGCCGAATAGTCCAAATCGGCTTGATGACTATGGTTAGCATTGTTGATACCATTTCCATTAGTAGATGTTGATAGCATTGGTTGCACTACAGTAAAAAAAAATATATTTTTTTAATAGCTTGTACTTATTTATGTAACACCGGTTAAATAATATAGCAAAAGAACAACAAAAAAATTATTTTAATACTCACCAGAGTGACGCATGTCAGTAGGTGCTCTGGGTTTCCGATACAACCAGTCACGATCCAGTTCATTTCCATTTTCGGTATTGTTGTTGCGAGAAATTCGTGGACGTCTTAACAGTACTTCCCCATCTTCAGCTTCCTCATCAACAACATGATTGGAACCGAAACTGCTGTTAATAAATATGCGTCGTGGTGAACCATATAAGCCGGTGCAATTGGAGAAAGAACTGTTCTGTGGTGAGTAACCATTAGAATAGCGACTTAAATTTGCGTTATTTGCTGAAGAGTAGGGTATTTTCTGTGGTGTTGAATGATTCGTGGACATGCCACTTATATGATTCTGATTCTTGTTATTTAAAGCACTTAAATCTGGCACTGAATCAGAGAACAGAAATGGATTATTGCCAGCGAAACCGCTTACACTGCCAGTGCCTAGCTTTAATCGACCTGCGCCACTACCACTCGTCATTAACCAATCATCAAAAGCACTCGAATATGTCCCGCCCAGGCCGAAGTGATGATTTTGCAATGAAGCATGTGAAACTGGCGCGGCCAATGAAGCACGAGAACGAGGCCCTTGTGCAATTTTTAAGGCACGTCGACGCTCTTTAGAAGTTAAAGTACATTCCTGCATAAAAAATAAGTTTAGAGTATTTAAAACAGAATTGAAATTATAACTTAAAAAATAAAAAACATACTATATTAAATATTGTAACCGGTGAATTATTTAAGTATCTGATTATTTTTTAATGGGCTAAGATTTAAACAATAACAGCATTATTGTATTATCGTTATTGTAAATGTTATCGTAAATATATAGAAAATTCTTTTCAAGCTTTCCTGATCAAAATCATTTTTCTTACCTCTAAAAGTTCATACCAATCTTCGAGGCCATCGTCGCAACGTAATAAAACTCTTCCTTCACGGCCCAATAACAAACCAATGGCGCTATAGGAACGGCGATTTAGCCACTCCACCTTTTCAACGTCAACCAATTTAACCTGAAATAAAAAAAAATGCAAAAAATATAAGTAAAGTTTTTTGATTGATGCTATTTTTATTAAATATACAAATATAATACTAATGTAATGCCATACATGGGCGTTAACAACCAGCCACTTAATTGGAGTGATCATACAACCTATAGTAGAAGTGCGAAAATAACTAGAATCTCAGAGGTTCATGGAAACAGATACTTCAGTACATATTTCGAGAAATAATGTTTAAGATATACAATTTTAATCAGTGGAGAAAGAAATTAAAGGAATATTACTCTTTTCCGCTAACAACTTTAAAGAAAAACAATCGACGGCACACGGTACAGACTGAGTCTTGTATAAAAATTAGACTCCAATAGCGAGACATACTGGAGTACTGTGGGGGCCTTATGCTTCACGAGAAATAATAATAAAGTCGGTGGAGAATGGATGGAGATTATGTTTTAATAGGAAAAATAGTTAAAAAGTATACCTATATTATATTGGATTCCGCTATAGCAAGTTATGGTAATTCGTAAAGGGAATACGTCCCAGGAGTTTTTATAATCAATAATTTTGTTGAAATATTAATATTAGCTGTTTATAAGTAAAATTAGTAAAATTAATTTAATTTTATCATTAAAATGTTAAAGTGGTTTTAATTCGTTCCATTGATGATTAACACAGAATTTAATTTAATATTATTTTTTTATAAACTTAACTAATCTTCTTAACTAATCTAATTACTGTGTGAAACCAAGAAAAGTAAAATTTCTTTAAGATGTAAAGTTTTAGTACAAATATAGGTGATTAGTCATACCCAGGAAACTTTTATAATGTATTGCGGCTTAAAAAAAATTCAAAAATATTATTATGCGAAATTTTTGATAAATACATATTGTAGTTCTTTTTATCCTATTACTAATAAGAATAGAATATTTTTATTGCAATATTAGAATCTGAAGATTATAAAGATTATAATATACAAAGTTTTAGTGTCATTATATAATTTATTCTTTAAATATATATAGCGAGTATATATATAATTATATAGAGCAACATAATTACATTAATAATAGACAATCGTAATGTCTGACAGCCAAGTGGGTTTACTAATCTTAAACTCTGTTCAAACTTATTTAGAAATACAGAACAACTGCTGTTGTCCCTCTGTGAACTGTGACAAAGCAATTGCGGTACTTCGTGGCGTATGCCAGAATATGAAGTACACAAATGCAATTAAAGGTCTGATTGTCTTGCCAAACACGTAGCCCAACGTTAATTTATTGAACCTAAACCATCGATTACTCTGGCAAAAGATCATATAGTGAAAAAACTCACGAACTGGAAGGAATCTCAGTTTAAAACCTACTGGAAGAATTGTAAACCCCAAATATAGACAGAGAGATTTGTCTATCCATTGAAGACAGTGTTAAATATGTTTCTAGCACTAAAAGGAGTGGATATACGTGTTAAAATTCTGTGCGAATTTTTGACAGAGCACAAAAGACTGAGGTACCATTAAATTCGTCAATTATTAACTATATTTTTGACAATATGTTTCCAAGGCGACACTGGTGCAACTGGTCCAGATGAACTCTACTTTCTTGCAAAAGTTAGAGTGCAAAGTAATATCGCTTTAGTAATTGCATCATCTGGAATCGCTGCAACTACAAAAGTTGCCACTAAACATATACTCATATAAAAATGCAATACACAATATAAAAAATATGACTAATGACTATGACTAAAGTTCTTCAAAATAGGCAAATCATTGTCTGGGATGCATGTACAATTATATATATGCATTCATTGAAAGTATTAAATCAAATACTTAAAGACTTAAATGCCAACGATAGACTTTTCGGAGGCGTTTTAATTTCATTGGCAGGTGATTTCAGCAAACATTACCAGTGTTTTCACGTTGAACCTATGCTGATGAAATCAATACAGGCCTGAAATCATCAGTTTTGTGGCGAAGTGTCCATATATTAACATACGACTCACGGAAAGCATGCGTGTGATCTACGGAGCAATTTAAATACAGAACTATACTTCAAACAATTGCTGGGTATTGACAATGGAAAGGTAAGTTTTCGTGACACCTTGTAAAATTGCCAGAAAAATTGTGTAAAGTTGCTAATTCAAAAGAGGAATTAATAGATAAGACCCACATCAATGTTCAAAAAAAAAATAAATTAAAAATAATTTACGCATTAACATACTAAATATTGAGTTGACATTTACAAACATCATAAAGAGAGCTAAACTTTATTCTTAGAATTACACGATTTAATTCTAGACACTATTTGTATCTCACATGGACAGACCTGAAATATTATTATTATATTATTATATAATAATAATATAATATTATTATTAATATTATTATTATAAAGAAAATATTATACATACATTCATAGTTAAAATATTTAAAATCTTTTATTTCGTATACTAAATTTGAAGATTATACATATATATATCAATTATAAATAATTGTTTATTTCTTTTTAGTTTTTAATTTGATTTTAGGAACTTGTCATACATGGGTTAATAATAATTTTTTTTTTTAATTGAACTGTACAAAATGAGATCTACAAAGAATGCTGTAGAAATTGTGTTACAGAACCGTCACTGATTTAGCAACAAATAAAATAATTAATTTACGAAATAAATTTTATTTTACAACGAACATTTCTTTGTTCTATTTGTTAATAGTATTTACAAAAAATTAAATTAAATTAAACAAAAATTAATTAATAAATATTAAAAACATGTGAAACAAAATTTATGAATTGTTGTTGTAGTCATTTTGATATTATGCCCAATTAAAAAATGTTCACTTGATTACATACCTTAACCTGACGCTAGATGCGAAATTGCGTTGGAAAGAACATGTCAAAATTAAAAGAGAAGAGCTTCATATTAAATGGAAAAAACTGCATTGGCTTATGGGAAAGAAATTCCAACTCTCACTAGAAAACAAACTTTTATTATATAAACAGGTTCTTAGACCCGTTTGGAGTTATGGCATATAGATTTGAGTTATGGCATATAGATTGGACGTTTCCAAAATAAGGTATTGAGATGTGTGGTTAAAGTGCCTTGGTATGTACGTAACTCGGATCTTTACCGGGACCTTTACCGGGAGTTCAAAACTATATTTCATTATAAGTTCTTAGCAAATTAGTTTTAATCAATTATAAATAAATTATAAATTATTAATAAAAATAAATTAACTATAATTTTATTTTATTAATTTATTTTGCTTCTCTCTGTTTGACGTATATATCACAGCACTATTCTTATATTAATATTAATATTATATTAATATTTATTTGTTAAATTTTTGCATATCACTTTTTTGTTTTAAGTAGCGTTAGTCCGTTGTATTTATAATATTTTTTTTATTAAAACTGTAAAATTATAAGTACTCATAAGTACTTGAATATGCACAATTTATTTTTTTCTTTGTTAATTTTTAACCATCTCAGTAATGGTTCGACGGTAAAAGCCCGTTTAATTGCGTGGTCGAATAATAATTAATTTTGCTTTATTAAAACTTCCTATACTTGCTTATATGTGCATAGCATCGCAGCGCAAGCACATGTAATTTATATTAAGTGTGCAGAAGCATATTTGCCTAGCCAGCACATTTGCCGACGCTCGGTGTCTAATTCCCGTTGCATAAATATTGCAACGAAACTGACCCAGTGGGAATAAATTGACCCAGTAGCAGAATACAAAGGCCTTTTAAAAGCTCTTCATAAAAAGTTTAAATAAAATTTACAGGCCTTTTGTTAAAGTACTTTATTAAAGTACTGAAGGAGAAAAGTATTTCTGGCTTCATTTTTAATACGACACAAACGCAAATATATTACTGTACTATAAAGTCTTTAAAAAAATTTTAAAATATATATTTTATATATTTATATATAAAATTAACATTGTCAAAATGTTAGTTACCGTACTCCTCCGAGACGGTTTTACCGATTTTTACCAAATTTTATATGCATATTCAGTAGGTATGAGAATCGGCTATTATCTGTTTTTCATACCGCTAAAGTGATTAGGGAGTCCCTACCCAGCAAAAATATCCTTATTGCTTTAACAAAAAATTTTTTATTTTTTTGACATAAATTTTGTTTATATTTTTGAAAAAGAAAAATTTTTTCTTAATATTTTATGTAACTACGCCAACAAGTACATCGAGCATTTACATCGACTTCGTTCTTCGTCTTCGCCTTGCATGGCAGATGGAAAATGTACTAAAAATTTTTCTAAAGATTTCACTAATGATACTATAACAAATACCGACGGATATCCAATATATCGTCGAAGAAATCCCGATAATGGGGGACAATGGCGGGTGGTAACGTTTCGCCTCTACTAAGCAAGACATACAATGCTCATATTAATGTTGAGTTTTGCAGTTCTGTGAAGAGCATCAAATATATAAGTATGTCCATAAAGGCAGTGATATGGCTGTGTTTAGAGTAGAAAATACAAATGTAAATGCTCCTCCAAAACGGTGAAATTACGCTCTACCAAATTGGTCGGTACATCACCTCCAATGAAGCTGCTTGGCGTATCTTCGGCTTTCTAATTCATGAACGGAATCCAGCAGCTGTTCAGGTAGCCGTCCATCTTGAAAACGGTCAGCGTGTATTTTTCACGAACGAGACAGTGATTGATCGTGGTACAAATCCACCTAAATCTACACTCACTGCATTTTTTGAATTGTGTAATAGTACGGATGATTTCGGTGCCTTTGCAAAAACAATACTCTATTCACAAGTACCACGCTATTTCACATGGCCTCAAACAAAAAAATGGATGCCCCGCAAGCAAGTTTCACCAGTTGATGCATGTCTCAATTTATTTAAATCAAACGCTTATTTACAGTTAATCCAAGACACACTGAGTACTTTTATCTTCGACTGTTGTTGGTTAATGTTACTGGCCCATTATCATTATTATTATTTACAGTCAATCCAAGACAATTTAAATTTGAAAATACAACAGTTGTTGCCAGGGAACTTGGTATCATAAAATCTATTGATTTTAAATTAATAATTTAATAAATAAACTATAATAACTTAAAAATAATATTGTTTGGCGTTTGTTATTTTTATTATCCTTTTCGATCATAGCGCTCCATGCCTATTTCATGCATATACCACATACTTACACACTTATAATAAGTAAGTTACTTTTTGTCTACACTAGAATTTATCTAGAAACTAGAAATAATTTATAAGGCAAAACAACGTTTGTCGGGTTATCTAGTATTTATATATAATATATATATCTTTTGATATATTTAAATTCTAATATTTAATAATATTTATTTTACATTAATTTATTTATTTATATATATTTATGCTATAATTGTAAAATTAATAACTGCCACCATATTTCTTTTATGGCATAAATTTATTTCCGTTGCTAATTATTTATATATAAAAAATAATAAAAATTAAATATATGTCTTACGGCTTTCAATTGTTTTTGTACTAAAACTCAATTCTTTACTTGCGTGCGATAGCGATTTGCATCTGTTCTTAATTTCACCACTAAAGAAATAGAACAAAACAGTTTTCACAGGAAGATTTTTGTGCCAGAACAACTAAAATTTTGCAAGCGATCTTCCGATTGATCTTACAAAAGATCAGTCTTACGAAAGACTTCAAACGATCTTTGCCAGAATTGACCTATAAAAGAAAAAACTATG